TTTTTGATTTTGGAAATGATTATTTCCAGCAGCTCTGGTTCCTTGGTATCTGCTATCAGGTCAGCTTCTGCATTCTCGTATTCTAGGTCCTGCTTTTCCACATCTTAGGTAGAGTTTCTCATTCATTCTTCTGGCGTTTTCTTCCTTAGACAGGTTCAGAGCAGGTCTTGCTCTTAATTTGTCTAACTCTATTGGCTCGCCTGCTGGTAATGCTCGACTTTCTCCTCGAGCTGCTTACGGTTTGAAGGTTCCGTCTCCATTTCTGTATGACTGGACCACCCTGTGTGCTATAGTATTTTCCGAGTTGCTTCAAACCATGTTTAATTTGCTTTCCTTATCAATCGCCCATCTTGCAAATCGTTCTACTATTATATAGCGTAGGTCGGAGATTCCCCATGCCTCTCGGAGTCTCTCGCTGCAGTTTCTCAGAAGGATGATGTAGAGAGTAGCATCATCAAACTCGGCCTCATATTCCAATAGTCAGCATTCGTTACAGTATGCCGAGAATGTTTGTTTTCCTTGTTGGAGTTTTTCCAGCTTTCGTCTTGCTGTTTCTTTGGCATTAGGATCTCTGAATTGTTCAAAGAGTGTCGCCTTGAACTCTTCGTGTGTGACCCACTCCCTCTGCTTTCTTCCATCTTGGAAAGGCATGATCCATTGTCCCACGAGTTCTCTGAGTAGAGATTCCACATATGGAATCTTGATTTCATCATGGTGATCTCCATATCCCTTGACTGCAAAATATCCTTCACACTGTGCTAAGAATATTCATAGTTTATCTTCGGCTCCTTTGTATGTGTCGGGTTCCTTTGCTTTCGGTCGTTGGACGTTTCCTTGTCCTGTACTTCATGTTGCTGCGAGAAATGCCTGAAACTGATTTTCAGTCATTCCAGGTATGCTAGTTCCTGGTGCTGGAGCGGCTGGGGCCGGTGGCCCTAGTACTGCTGATCCCGACATTTTCTCGGGTCGTGGAGTTCCTGCAGGAGAGCTATCAACTGGTGATCCTTTCTCTGGGGTTACTGGGCTTGCTGCTCTGGAGGGTTCTGCTGAGACATGATCTAGAGCGTCGCTGAATCCTCCTAGGTTAAGGTTTTGATCGTCGATGTCAATATCTCCTTCCCTGTCTGGATTGAAGGATGCCGTCTTGTATCGTTTGGCGTCGCACTAGGTGACGCTTTGTAATATAATGATCCCTCCTCTGATGGTTAATTATTGGCGACGGGGAATGATACTTCTCTTCTCTGTCTTCTCCTTTCTTCGTCCTACGATAGCACTAGCCCTCTGCCTACGTTACCAATAGTACAAGATCTTTATCTTCTATCGGAAACGCCTATCGTAAGCTTTCTCTAACTCATCTTAATGAAGAGCCCTCCTTGGCGTGACAATAATGTTGCAATGAAGATAAAGATTGTAAAGTTGTTTTGTATTCGTTAAAGTAATAAGTAGGAAAAGTACTTAGAACAAAACGTGAAGAACCTATCTTCCTCAGCCGCATCGGCCTCCTTATATAGTATTCTTCTCGCCTATAGTCATGTGACCTAAAGTGGTCACATGTGCGAAACCAAATCATAACAAACTAGTCATGTGACCAAAGTGATCACATGTTCAAAACCCATGACCTCATAGCGAGGTTATGTGCAAAAACTCATAAACCAATCATAACGTAATAAACAAGTCATATGACTCAACTGAGTCATATGCGCGAAACCCATGACCTCATAACGAGGTCATGTGCAAAACATAAATCATATATGCAAAGCTTACCCACAAGGTATACTCACAAGGCATACTCATCAGGCGCACTTCCCATGACTCATATTTGAGCCATGTGCGAAAGCCTCACAAATCCCACACATAACAAATCATATAACCCGAATGGGTCATATGCGCAAAACAATAACATACCTGTGACTCATAACCATGTGTCATGTGAAAACCTTTTCTGTGCCAAGCCACGTTCATGACACAAACTATTTTCAGGTCCTTTGACTTTAAACCTCCATAACTCCTTATACAATCGATCGATATCTTCCAGAGGACTTCCTCCTAATTCGCAGAAAGCTATTCTACTGGATTGACAAATATTCTCTTGGCCAGCAACTTTTGGTTGCTCTGAGTAACAGAGTTTCAATCACTGTTGTAGTATAGGAAGTTATCCTCATAAATACAACATATTCCAAAACCTAGTTACAATACTCTATGAAGTCCAATGGCTTCTATGGTTGTATCTCTCGGAGTTCTAGGCTCTTTCAGATATTGTAGAGTGGATGTGAATGTATTAGTCTCTTGCTGAGATCCTTTACCATTCAATACTATCTCTTTGGGCGAAAATGTCCTGTTACCTATAGCTCATACCAAAAGTATCACATCTTTGAAGCCTAGTAACTTTCTGAGTAGTTGATATATTTACTCCGTTCTACTTCTCAGACCTAGCCGAAAGTCCCCTCTCATATATCCTGCGAACAGGATCCCGGTCAGACAGACGGTGGCGACATATACAGCGGTATTCTGACACTTTCAATTCTGTGGCATTATAGTCACAGGACGCAACTGAGATTAATATGTATAATGACATGCAGGCCCTGTAAGGGGGCCGGAGGGGGGTGTTGGAGACCAGAGATTCCGTTTCTGGGTGAGGTTACCCTACCTACGGTGACTCCTAGGTATCGGATCCCAGTATTCTTAACAGCCGGGCAGCTGTGGAGGATGCAAAACATGCACTTTTGGAGACCTGGAAAGCACTTCCATAGGCAGTAATTGACCGAGAGTGTCAATCATTCCATGAGAAGCTTCAGAAGGTGATACTTCAAGATGGAAACAATAATTTCAATGGCTAGAGGCTTGGTAGTATTGGTATAGGATAATGAGACAATCCTTCTTTCTGTATTGTATTTATTTCTTAGTTGTGTTGTCCCATATCGTTTTCCTATTGGCCTGGTGATCATTACTTAATGTAGGTGTCCAACTTCGACTCGGCCGCGGGAGTAGACCATTGGTCGATTTCCGTCGATATACATTTCCCAACTTGGGTAGGAAATTAATTCCGCACAACATCGCCCTATGCAATGGTACCGAGCCCCCGACAAATAGGGCCCAACAGACAGTTTGATCACGCCGAGATATTGGCCCAGCCATCTCACTAGGTGTCAAGAACTGCCATATATCCGTAGCAAAGGGGTAACGCTTATATACCCTAATGTGTTGTCATCTTCGACAAAAGGAAAAATCGGAAAACATTGGGGATGTTAAAGTTCAAAATAATTTTTCCCCTAAATGGCCCATTCATAGCTTTAAGCTGATCTCGTCGACCTTCCCTCTAGCTATACTGATGCCGGGGACGACCCAGTCCCCGCAAGAACACTTCAAGCCTTGCCATGCGTATGTCCCCACCTTTGAGTTGCATTTTGGGCACTCCAACTTTCCGGAAACTTCGCCCTTCGAAAGCTCCGTTTTCATCCAAAGAAGAGGCTCAACGAAATGGTGTGCGCAAGGCTGCAGGGGTGTCTCACTGTAAGGTGGCTGCGCAGGTTTAGGCATATGAGGTGTGAAGGAGGCAGAGTATGCTAGAACGGTCCTATATGGAAACACTTGTAAGTAAGGATGGGCGTGCCACGACAAAAAATTATATAGGGAGGAGGACGAAGGAATGATACACATACCGACACTTCTTGCACCTTAGCTGCACCTCACCTTTCTCTTCGGGGGTTTCACCTTCCTTAACTCTGGTTATTCTCCCGGTATCGGCCTCAGCATCCCGGAAGTGGATTCTCTCCGGAGCACGGCCGGCTGCATTGCTCATCTCTACATCCCGCAGATAGATCCAACGTTGGTAGATGGGGTGATCCTCAACATTTTCAGCAAATTCCATCTGATAGTAGAGTTCCAGTTGTTGCATAAAGCCCGAATTAGGCTCGACGAAAGGCCGAACTCGCCTTACGATACCAAGAGCAAGATGTGGCGCAAGGCAGCGTGATGCCATTAAGTAAGCCGTGAGTACTGTCGCTGACCGTGACTTGCCCATTGCACTGTTGGGCAACTGTGTCAGCGAGGCCCATAAATGACAGGATAAGGGAGATCGGCCGCCCAGAGACGAAAAGCAACCGGGGTCAGGGTGAGGAATGGGTTACAAACCAGTGAATGAGGACAGCGCCCCCGCCTTTCAATGCATCGGAGATGAATTTGTAACTATCTGCGAAGTGCTCCAGCATGTTTTCAGCTTCGGTATCGTCCACTTCGATGATCTTGTGCTGGTATTGAACGAATAATTCTTTATCCAACGGCAACCGCAAGACGGAAACAACATGGGTAATCCCCGCTTTCTTGAGAGCTTCACGCCCACGCAAGGCGTACATTCTGTAGGCTCGGAGGGGGGGAAGTAAGTAAAAAGTTGATACACAGGCTCATCACCAGCCAACAGGCCACATGGCAACCACAACAAACAGCCAACCATCATTACGGAGACCGGTAAAAATGTAGCAGATGGGGAAGGGGGAGGTTAACAGGGTACACACCCGCTAATATAAAGATTTTCGCCCCCCACTTTGTCCATCTGCAGTACCATGTACTTGTATAATGGGGGTTATTTGTTTAAGAGGGAAAAAGCGATGAATCGGCAGGTAGTTGGGGGGAGAGAACAAGCGAGGACAGCTGGTCAGGTGGGCTGTGAAATAAGGCTGAAGATACCGGGATGACAAGACTCGGATGGCCTTAAGGCAAGTAAGTTGGGACGCTCTTCCTAAGTGAAATTCTGGAACCAAGCACAAGAAGAGCTGACGATGTGAACAAGTGGGCGAGCGGGTTTAATAGTTCGGTACAGTACCATAGGCGGATGAACCTATGAGCAAGACGATCACAGGCGAGTGTGAGGGTGTGTGTTTAACATGGGAAATGCGGGGCAAGAGAACCCGGTCGATGCTGACTTGCGCCAAAATCACAGAGATCGTCGATTCCTTAGGGCTAGGGGCCGGTAACTTGCGTTACCGCACCGGCAGACTGACCGCCCGTCATCCTTGGTGTGATATTTTCAATTATTATTTTGCGATGGGGGCTGGTGTCTAAAAGCGCTATCCTGGATGTCTCTCTGGGGGTGTTTTGGGCTCTTGTTTTTCGATCCCTTTAAACAAATAATCGAGTAGAGTCTTTAGTCCTGGGTGAGGAAACCGTCACTTGTGGTTTTACCTCTAGCTCACGGTATGTTTTCCGGTTCTCAACTACCACGCAGTGTTTATCAGAGGTAATTTAGTGAGCGCACAGTAATGCAATAGGCCTAGGAATAGAGCAAAATTAAATTAAACTGTAACCGGCGGATAGCTGACGCACAGGGAAACCATGCCATCGTCTAGTGGGGGGTGTGTTCTGTTGAGTGGAATGTGCTGCACTGGTACTGTACGTGAGGCGAATCTGTTCCAATTGGTCGAAATATCACTGGAAATATGATATCACTTGGAATGCCGGATATCCTGAAGCCATTGTTACCCAGGGTGGTGGAATGTTCGTCTCGGGGTCGGCCGTTTAGGCGACTTCCATACTCCAAGAATTCAGGCAAACGAAATTGTGCCGCACAGCACAGTACAATAGGAATTCAGTCAATAACACAATAAAGGCTTCACCTATGATAATTCCAGAATTCAGAAACCCAGGTTTAAACTCCTTTTTTTCAATACAGGATTTTTGGGGGTAAATGGAGGGAGTCATTGGTCGCGGAGCACGACCGCAATCTCCGAAATGTCACTTCTGGCGCATATCTCATTTTGCCTTCAAAAATCTGTAAAAAATTGGGACAATCGAGGTTCATGCTAGGGGTCCCTCTCGAGATTGAGGGGGGAGACACGGCGAAAAGACCCTTTCAGCCTTCAGTCGAGACAAATAAAAAGGGCAATACAACAGACCTTACTAGTAGAGGCAACTTCAACGACCTCTCGAGATTCAATTCTTTAGGTTTCTACGGTATCTTGTTACAACGGCACAGGCCCCGGGTTAGAAGCAATAATCACTTTCTGCTCCATCAAGCACATGTTGAATCCTTTGAGCTGTCTCATTTGTAGATTTTCTTCATACTACTTCAAATTTACTTGTGATATTGGGATTTCCTCGGCAGGTTTCTAGGGTCAAACATAGTATAATACTCTAAACTTCTTCCAAGTTCTTACCCATATAAAGTGTTTCAAACTAAGGTTAAGCTTATTATATCCTGAAATATTTCAATTCGGTAAGAGAAAGAGTTCTCAGTTAGGAAAACTTGTTCAAGTTTTAGTAATCTTGTATTCAATTCCAATCCTTGATCTTGTCTTTTTATGATAAAGGTCTTTCCTACTAGTATTTTTTATATTTTATCCCTTTCAAGCTGAGTTGCACACTTTTCTCATATTACAAATTACCAAATCATATCATACCAAAATTATCAGAATATAAGGTAATCTAAATTTAGACTCTATTCAGCATGCACTAATAAAAATATATTGTTGTAATTTCTTTTTTTAGAAACACCACACAGAGTATGTCCATATTGATAATGTAAGTTAATTTTAAAGAAAAAACAATGATAATAATATTATTATGATAATAGTCATATATCACAACTCATGAGACATTCATGAAGCAGGGCACTTATCTCCATTTACCAGATACGGTGCTGTACGGCTTGGCACCGGTTCCTATTTGCGCAGCCCGCCCCCCCCGCCCTACCCTGTCTGCTTCTTTTCCTCCATCCATCACGGCACTTCACATGCCAATTAACACTTCAGCTCCTGACGCCAGTGCCACACAGGTATCATTCCTTTCTCTGCTCCCTCTGTCATCGCCTGGCGCCGGCTTTTGGCCATCTCGTACCCCGGGATCAGTCTACACCGCCCAGCTCAACTTATCGGATCATCGTCGCGAGTTCCGCGAGACCTCCTTCATCGAATTTCACCCTCCATTGTTCTTTTCACTTTCTTACTGCTTTGAGTCAGGGCCATTGACGCACAGTATCAAAAGGCTTCCCGTTAGTATGATACCGGTACTTTATGTATAATTTTTTCCGGTAAACGCCTATCACATACATTTTTGCCCTTGAGATGTAAACCTAGAGACCTAGCTAACCAACACGATCCACACCAGCTAGACCCTTTGGTGGATTTCATAATCACGCATAAGCAACACCATGCTGTTCGCTAGTTAGACCTTACGTCTCATAAACCTAAACACGGTGCCACCACGATACAATTGCTCGCACCTTCCCCATCCTCGATGCCATTCCCAGTGTTTCCATCAGAGGAAAGGCCTCAGGTTGCACCAACACCCCACAATTCAATTCTCAAAAGCGAGAGACCCGTCTAACTACCACTGAGAACTAAGTGGTTGATGACCTTATCAAGCACTTCACTAATATATTGAGCTATCAGACGAGTACTCAAGACGGAGGGGCAGGAAACTTGACGGCACTAGGCAAAAAGTCACCGGAAGTACCCCAGAACGTGGCCTATCCTTTGAGATCAAAGACACCCCGCGAGAATTCTCATAGTTCTCCTGAAAATTAACGAGGTGTGACTATAACCTTTACTTTTTCCTGGAGAAGCTAGTTGAACGCACCACGCGCAAAACCTTGCATGGCATAGGAAAGAACCTGTGTCCCTTAGAAAGGTAAAACGATGAAACTCTTGCAGCCAAGAATTGCGCAATCTGCAGTGACTTTGCCACAGGGTCAGCGTGTTCTCGAGTCAGAGGCCAAGGAAGTGGCAAAGTCTCTGGCTGCACCGAATCCTGTTGATTCACCTCCCTCGGGGATGCTCTGTGACGGAGTTTGCTTTAGCATTCCGGCTTGTTTGTAGGCTTTATATTATACTCATCCCAAAAACAAACTCACAGGTGGGGAGTGGGAACACGTACTCAGCAATCAGTAACTATGGAACCCAGGAGTTGAAAAATGTATGCCCCTCCTCCTAATTGGGCATGTTGTTCCCAGCCTTTAACCCAACTTCGCTTCTGGACGGGGTCATTTTCCCGGGAGCCCCTTTCAACTGCAACGCGCTCCTGAAAAACTCACCTCACTTTTCCAATACACTGATTGTCCAACTTCGTTTCCCAATTCCCCCCGCCCCCGGCCCGCCCTGCAACGCTCCACGTCCGTACCTATTGCCCCATGGTGGACTCGCGTGGTAGAATCGCCCAGATCGCAAGATGGGTGGAAGTCCATATTGAAGGCGGCATGCGTCCAGCAAAAATAGTGCCATGACCGGAAAAACTGCTTCTACAAATATTTCCATCACAGAAACGCCCGTGTCTGACCCACTGCAAGCCTGAATTTATTCAGTGCCCCGAGGCAAAGGGGGAAAATACGGTACATGAGATAATACCCCGCATTTATTTATAATCGGATTCCTAAGCTTAGTTACAGTGCATTTCGCATCTGGGCTGACGCCCTCAACAAATTGCGGAAGCGGCAATTATATACCAGAGGTTCGCATAGCAAACGGCATTGGCCCCTGGGGATGTCTGCACTGGAGGAGTATGATATGATACCTGGAGAGGGCTGTAGCGGGAAAGGTTTCTGGTGAATAGGTCGGGGTGATAGGTGGCCGTACAGTAGGGCTTATGTGATTTACCATAGATAGCTCTAACCCCTCCACGCGGTGGGGGCACAACTTAAGGTAAGCCTTGAGAAGGAAAATTATGTAATTTCTGAGGTTGCCGCAACAGAAAAGAAATTTGGAAGCGGCATTTCTGGTTTTCAAGGTCCTGAGACCAACTCCGCAGGTGACGAGATGTTATCACGGGGAGACATTGGTGTTCAAACCCTGGAAAATAGAGGTTGTCGTCACTTTTCCTTATCTTCGGAGAGAAAGTTGCTTTTCGACGCAATTTCAAGTATCTTGCTAGGTGCTCGGGTATGGAGGTTAGTGATGAGACACACATGGTACTGTACAGGTGGTCAAAGACATATGTGCATGGCGCGGGGATGTGTAGATATGTCCTGGGCCACCCGTTCCCTGTCCGTCTCATCACTAACCTCCACACTCGATCATCTAGCTCCGAGCGCGGAAGAAAACACTTCTAGCTTCCCCATAGTGAGTATGATATCAGACACTTGTTTTTTTTTTTTTGCTTCGGTATGGTCTTGACCCTAGCCCCCGGAAATTATCTTATTGTCAAAAAATGCCGCCCGTCAAAAAAGAAAAGGCAGCATCTCCATCTTTCTCAAGTCACGAAAACCTTAGTCAAATTGCAATAAGATGGTAAAACAGAAAAACTACCCTCAATTCTAGGGCCTACAACGGGACATACTCGAGTATATCATGGTAAGACAACAGGAGCAGGCGTGCCGATAAAACCAGGTATAATCTTTCTTGAGCAACTTTAGTGGTATATTTTGACTGATCCTAAGACACATAGCGAACAGGGCTTCACCCCTTCGAATACATTGCTCTCAATCCATGCAGCTCCCGAAACAGTGTAGAAGTGATCAGAAAAATCGCCAGTGACAGTTCAAATTGCCCACTTCCACTCTGCCCCCCCGCGCCCCAAGCAGAGGAATAGCGCAGTGGTGTGTGGACTTTGATCCTTCTCGATTCCTTCAAGGAAATATCAGTTTCTTCAGAGGACACACCTACCAGTACACATCTTCAAGATGCCAATTATACCGCAACACGCGGCCAAGGGAAACTTGCTAGAACCGGTAGGCGGTAGCGTGTTGTGAGGCGTGTGGCCTTCGTTTTTGCCTGGAAACCCTAACAAAG